CTGCTTGCAGCATCTTTATGCTTTTTGTTTAAAGTACTGCAAGAATCTATGAAAATAGTCAAAGGTAGCACAAGAGAGTTCAGACAGGAGAGGCCGGAGGCCCTCTTCTTGATGTGGGTGGTCAAGGATATGGACAATATAAATAACATGAAAAAGTAATGGTGTAAATCCACATTTATGTATGTATGTATGTATGTATGTATGTATGTATGTATGTATGTATGTCAAGCATGTATTAGATAACAGATATAAGTATAAACATGATTATGAATACATGAAATGGATACGAATAAAAAGGACATTAGGACAGAGACGGTAGGCACATTGGTGTGCTTATGCTCGTCCCTTACAGACCTCTTAGGAATGGGGTGTGGTCAACAGTAGACAGTCTAAGGTTAAAGTTTTGGGGGTTTGGGAAGTAGGGAAGACAGTGCATTTAGCATATAATTTGATATAGAAACAAGCTGCTTTGCCAATGTTCCTCCAAAGCGCCAAGGAGATGTCAGTGAATCTTCACAATTGGGTATATTTATTTATTTATTAAACTTCTATGCTGTCCATCTCAGTTTATAACTGATAAAGCAACAAGATAAAACATTAAAAAGTTAAAACAAAAAATATTAACACTAAAAGTGACTTAAGAATTAATGAAAATGGCAAGGAAATGATCAAGATGGAGGTAGGGATCAAGATAGGGAGGAAGTGGGAGTCTTATCTCAGGTGGGACCTTAACCACTTCCAGTATGACACAAATAGCCATTGGGGCTCCAGGCCAATCTGCAGAGCCAGATTTTCAGGGCCCTTTGGAATGCCAAAAGGGTGGGTGCTGATCTCACCTCAATGGGCAGGATATTCCAGACAGTGGGAACCACAGCAGAAAAGGCCATAAAAGATGTTTGGTATTGGAAGATGTTTGGTATTAAACGAATAACATCTAGCTCCATTTTATAAAACTATATGAATAATATAAACACATGAGTAAGTATAGACATCACCAGTATGAAATACCTAGTAAGCTTCCTTAGGTTAGAATAATGTTGCCAAGTACTGAGAAAATGGCTGAGAATAGTTTGGTGATTTCATCTATATTATTGTTTCCATCAGATGTAATTGTTGAAAAGAATAGATTTATTTCTAATATGGAATTAATTTTACACACCAAGGACTAGAATGTGACCAAACCATTTTTTAAAGTCCACATGCTAAAAGTAAGCTTGTCCTCTGAAAGTAATGCATTTTTACTTATCACTTGGCAAACTTTCATGCACTTAGCAAAACTTTAAAATAGTAGTCATTTAGGAATATATGAGTTTATGTTGTAAAATAAGATGAGATTTAATGGAAGACAGGAGTTATCAGGAAATGCCATGTTAACAACAAAAATGAAATAGATACTAATGAAATAACTGTCTGATCAAAATTTGCAAGTTACCAGTACATTGTAATTTTCAACATTCTCCAAAGCTTAGGAAATAAAGTCTGTCCATATTTTCACAAACACCCTCCCCCACCCCCACCCCACCCCCAGTAATTTCTGTCCTGGCCTGGGTCTTTAGAGTTTTATGGTTTGTTCACTAGCTAGGAGGGATTTGGAATAGAATTACAAAGATATATTATAGGTTTACATATAGAAAGGATATGAATATATTTAGCTTAAATAAGTGGGGAAGAGGTAGGTGTCAGTAGGAGACTGTGACTTCCAGAAAAGAGGTGGGGAAAAAGAGCAATCTGTTTTAGAAATAGGAACTTTTGGGAATAATTGAAGTTAACAAGGCTTTTTGTTGACATTTAGATGCTCTAAACAGAAGCTAAAATGGGATTTGGCACCTTCCCACTCCACTGTATAGGTTCTGAAGAGTGAAAGAAAATAAAACTAGAGGGTTGTATGATGAATTTCTCCCCTTCCCACTACAAACACACCCTACTCCTACACACTAATACTGTGCCCATTCATGTCAACTGAGCAATCAAACAACTTGAAAGGAATCATGAAAAAAAATAAAAATAAAAACAAAACTGTGCTTATCAAAGGCAGATAATGTAATGATTATTAAAGTTTCTGACCATTTTAAAGAGACAGCTATTCTGTGGAAATAAATGTGCATTCTGTTCAAATTAAAATTGCAAAAAGGCTAAAAAGATGAGCATAAACTATGACAACATATTATTTCCTGAATATTTATAGCAGACTATCAGCAAGGTGTACCTGGCTTAGTCATACTTTTTCCATGGATCTTCATATCAACTACTCTAGTTTACTCTACCTGATTAGATATCTTTGACCTGGGCTCCAATAATCCTTTACTCCTCTAATCCATCACTCATTGTCCAGATTGTTTGAACCGTGCACCATTTATCTAATTTATCTAAAAAGCAACACAGTAGGGAAGACTTCATTATGTATTCTCCAGGGTAGTGATTCTGTTGTGGAATACAGTATTATGAGCACAGGAACCTACCCTATAGATGATTGATCTGATCTGATTTGTGCCTTTGAGTCCATGTTGACTCCTGGCAACTGCCCAGAAAAGTGATTGCAATTTGTGGTCTCCTTCCCAGGGCTAAGAGAGAAGGAGAGAGAAGGAGAGAGAGAGAGAGAGAGAGAGAGAAGGAGAGAGAGAGAGAGAGAAGAGAGAGAGAGAGAGAGAGAGAGAGAGACTATCCCAAGGTCATTCAACTGGCTTTGTGTTTAAGACAGGGCTAGAATTCACACTCTCCTGATTTCTAGCTTTAATCACCATGCCAAACTGGCTCTTGATTTGTTTTATGATTTGTTTTCTCAATATGATTTATGACTCACCTTTATTTGTACAAAATAGTGTACATTATTCTCCTATTCCATCATAAAAATAATTCTGTGGGAAGAGTAGGGCCAAGAGATTCATCCCGCCAAGTTTGGTGTTTAAGGGAGTTGCCTTATTTTTTAAAAACATCTTTATTTTACTCTTAGGAACATTTTTTGATGTCGATGAAGTATCAGTTTTTCCTTGTTATAAAGTTTCCAGGGGTGAGTTCTAACCCGCTTTACTACTGGTTCTCTTTGTGCACGCACTTCGTGTGGGATCGCCTCTTCGGTCACGCACTTTGCGCAAGCGCATTGCGAATCTGCCCAGCTGAGGTGCGGCAATCAGCTCTGCCCCACCTCTCAGGTGGGTGAAAAAAAAAGAAATATAAGGTCGGAATAACGTGAGGGTGGGTGGGTGGGCCCAGCTCCCGAAGAAAGAGAACCGATTCGATGATGTAATAGCGTCACCGCTACTGGCTCGGCCGAACGGGAGCAATCCACCACTGAAAGCTTCCATGTATCTACAGAGGAACTTAAGAACAGTTCTATTGCTTTGATTATTGTAGCATCAAAGCAATGATGCTATAATAAGGGAAAAAATAAAGTCTCTGTATTGAAGTCAAAAAAGATAATGTGTGAAGGCATCCATGTGTGAAAACATTTGGGTAAAAAAACCCTGGAAAACAATGGAAAAAGTTGGGAACTAGTGAGGAAGAACTAATTCCTAAAAGGAAGGGACACACCAGTACAGACAGGAGCCAGACAGTGTGGCTTACCTTTTTTCTCATGGATGATCAAGACAAGAAAGAAGGAAACAACGGGTCAGATCTTATGGTGGCCATAAGTAAAACTGAGCATCAGCAACCCAGATTTGTTGCCAAACTACTGCAATCTAGCCTGAAATTTCTGAATTTAGTTTAAGAAACAGCTGGAAACAACATGACTGATAAGGCAATTTTGCATCCCAATCAAAGTAGCCCAATATTGTGAGTGTGATTGTCATCTCAGTATCTCAGCTAACCTGTTATCTGGTGTTTTTAACAGGAAATGCCACAAACTGAACCTGAGTCACTTGTATGCAAACAATATAATCTGCTATGAATTATTTTTCCTCCTGACCCAATTCACAGATTCTAATGAGCTTCTTAGTAAGCTATAAGCTAAGGAGCTAACATCTTTCCTGTGAAGTTATCAAATATCCTTTCATTAATCAGTTTTTGGCAAATCTCAGTTTACCTACAAATACAATTTATCTACCACTTGAAACCTGTTGAACTCCAAGTGGGTAGAGTTGAGGGATATAAATGGGGATAATAATATATTGCTGTATTACTGAACAGGAGTGTTGTAAAGATTACCAAGATAACATATGTGAAACACTTTGAACACTTTAAAGTGTGATATAAATGCTAATTATTATTACTGTTACAGCCCATTCTGGATTTTATAGCAGATGCACAAATAACCCCCAATGTATCTATAGCTTTTCCTACTTAATGGATAAGCATTCTGCTTTGTCTGAACATCTTGCAATTAAAGAGTCCCACTAATTTAACTGACTCAATGTAACTTAATTTGCACATCCTGCTAACTAGAATTCATTGGAAACAATAGAATATTCCTTCTTTCCTTTCAATCTAAAAGAGTGGAAGAGTGAAGTGGTACAACCATTTCAAAATGTGATAATTACATATGTGGTTATTTTAAACTTTCATAATGTATATAGTACAGGCCCTTAGTTGATGACTACTTTATTTCTCATCATATTAAGTGGAATATCTAACAAAACTATAGTAACTTTTCAACATACACAAGAAAAAACTAAAAAGCAACACTACAACTTTTCAAATTATGTAGTTTTAAGGTAGGCATAGCAAATTTGATCAATGCATATATGCAAACCATTTCCATGCTTGTGCCATTTACATAATTAGGAAGCACTTAACAGGAAAAAAACACTGTGCTAGATAGGAATTGATCAAGAATCAGGTATGGATGCAATGGATATTAGAAAAGAGATATTGCTGCTCAGTTGTTTCTGACTTTTCGTGACTTGGTAGACATCAGTTCTCCAGGATTTTATGCACCGTTGCATTTTGTAATGTCATTCTTCTGATATTATTAATAGCATCAGGTTCAGGGTTCATCTTTCTGTGAGGGTTCCAAGTAACACCCCCAACAAAAGAAGACTTCGAGGCTAGAAGTTCCTCAAAGTTCAATTTTATTAGAGATGTCATATTGGCACATAAGGGAAAACCCGAATCTGAAAGCTTCCTGGTTTTCCACACCCAAAAGAAAGTCAAAGTCCTTTCCCCTGTACCCACATGTCCATCACATGGTCCAATCAATCCACCGTCACAACTGGAGATGCCTCCTAATCACACCACTTGAGGTGCAGGCTGAACGTCCTTGACTCCCAGAAAAAAGAATATTGTTATGGCTAGATATCTCTACAACTCCATGCAATCCCCCCTCCCAGTTTCCCACAGCACTAAGCCCTGAAGAGCCAAAGAAAAAGATGGCCTCCAGGGCTGACACTTGTCTTCTGCCAACCTTTTTTTTAAATACCTTAGATCAGGGGTGTCAGATTCAAGGCCTGTGGGCCAAATTAGGCTTGCGGGGTGCTTAGATCTGGCCCACAGGGCCACCCTGGAAACAGCAAAGGACCAGCCTGCAGTGTATCTGCCAGCAAAAACAGAGCTCCTGCAGCCCTCCCAAACTCTGTTTTTGCTGGCAGAGGGTTGCAGGAGGCCGTCCCAGCCAAAAACAGAGCTTGGAAGCCCGTTTTCGCTGGCAGAGCACTCAGGCCACCACAGGCGCCCTGAAATGAGTGACATCAGGCTGGCCATGCCCCCCCCCCGGCCATGCCTCCCAAGGTCAAACACAATCCTGATGCAGTCCTCAATGAAATCGAGTTTGACACCCCTGCCTTAGATTTACCAAGCATGAAAGTTTTCTCCAAAAAAAATTGCTTCCATTCCATGTGATGTGCCCAAAATATGTAAGACTTATCATTTTTTATTAGTGCTTTCAGTGAGCTGTCTGTTCTTACTTTAACTAGACTGGAATTTTTTGGTCTGCTTACTATCTGTGATTATTGATTACTGATGTAGAAATCCATAAAGAAACAAAATCCAGTGTGGTGAAAGTATTACTTGACTGAATGTTATTGAAAGAAAAGCATAGCCATGAAGATAATAGGAAGAAACCTAACTTTTGTATTACAATATATTAGATCAATGATGATGCAATATTTTGAGATCACTGTAATTTCATCAAGTTTCTGGCTTTTTTATCTCATGAAAAATACTACTACAACATTCAGTATCACATTTCTAGAGATAACAATATCAGAACTCACTAAATCAGACTTTTTTTTCTTTTAAAAAAATTCATCCTTCCATTCACCACCCTTAAATAGATAATCTTAGCCTATTTTACTTCTGTCTAGTATATCTAGTGCACTATTTAAAATTATGTCAATTTTTAGAAGAATTGTTTCTTTTTCTTTTTAAAAATTAAATAGGGTTATAAATTGAAAAAAAAAATTGAAGGACTATATTTCTTGACTTACTTCATCTGACGTCCTAAGAGAGGAGTCCTCACTACATTCTGAAATTATGACACTGGGGGGTGGAATCTCTGGCCACACTCCATTTTTGGACTCTGACCGAAGAGACCTCATGGCTTCAGTATCAAATCAGAACTTTCATTTTTACCACCCCGCAGCCTACTTTTTGATACCATCTAGCCAGATGCTGTAGGTGGGAGGAGTAGTCAAGTGAGGATTTAGTTTAGAGTCTTTACATAGTCATAAGCCATTGAAGTCCAACTCCCCACCCCCACTCCTTGGTTGCCATTGAACCTTTCCTATTTTTAGCCAGGTACAAACTGTTAGTCTGAGAAGATTCCTGTGCAAAAGCTTCAGCAATACAACTGTAATTTTGAACCCTTTTCTTGTAGACCTGGTTGTTTGCATCTGACACAGAACTGGAGATCAGAAAAGTGTAAATAGTTTTTGTGGCTTGGGGGTTAGAGAAATACAACTTTATGAAAAGGACCAATACTTTTTTCATTAAAAAAGTGAAAAATCCACTGCAACTTTACTAACACCTTTAGCTGTACTAATATCTAATAACCAAGAGATACAATGTACAATTCTAAGAAAATCCTGTATCAGTTCATCTTATCCGACATTCATTTGATATGTCAAATGCTATTTATGTCAGTAGAATTGATCTGGACTCATTTAAGCTCATTATCAAGCTGCTAAATGATTATTTCAACATATAGCATACTGTATATATGATCCTATGATCTACAGTTTTTGCTACAAGATTTTAGGCAGAAGATTCGAAGGAGGCTAGGAGAAGGATGAGGAAAGTGACATCTAGATAAACTGATATGCAAGAATTTTATATATAAAAATGTTAAATGCAAATTCAGGACTTCATATAAAGCAATATAGATTAATTTCATCAAGTGATTTGCAAGAGATTATTATTTTGCAATTGATCACAAATTGAAAAAGAATTTATTCAAATTAAATACTTTCTAGGCTAGCCGTTACTGAACTTGTTTCCTTCATTCTCTTCTTTTTTACTTTTGTAATTGATCCTGGTTGACAAACAAGGAAATAAATACATGAAGAAGCAGGTTAAGGTTTTGCTCATGTTGGATATACAAGGGATATAACGAAGGGAGTATGTGAACATGTGCATGTCTAATTAAACTAAATGCAGTGTATAACTTTCCCAGATCATTTGTTCACACCATCCTCCAATGAGGAGCAATTTCTTTCTTTCCTGGTGTTGCATAGACAGAAAGTATTCCTATCCACCCATTCAGTTACTTAGAAATATTTTCAGCTGCCTAGCATTTAAACTATGGGCTGACTGGATTGAGATTTACTGTGTATGAGAGAGGCTTGCTAGTCTTGTGGTACTTTGGAGTTCTTCCTTGCTGTAATGGGCATTCTTCTAGTCCTGACTTGGGGGAAAAGGATGATTACAAATTCTGTTGCATTCATTCATTCATTCATTCATTCATTCATTCATTCACTCATTCACTCACTATTTATATATTTATTTATTTAAACAAACATATTTTGTTTGTTTGTTTGTTTGTTTGTTTGTTTGTTTGTTTGTTTGTTTAAACTCAGGATATCCAACACACCTTCCAATTTTTCCCAGAACAACAATCCTTTGAGGGTCAAAGTCACCCAGCTGGCTTTCCTGGCTAAGATAGAGCCTGAACTCAGTCTCTTGCTTTCTAGCCTTTAACTACTAGACCAAACTGTCTCTCTGCAGCCTCCGTGATATGCATGCTGACTGCTAATGTCCTTTTAACACAGGAGAATTTCATTGCAACAGTTGTTTGAGTCCCTGTTTCATTTATCCTTCCATATAGAATCACCAGCCCATGAGAAAAATAGTCATAATTTTCAGTCCTTAATATTTTATGGGTCAGGCTGGAAATGCTAGGTACATAATTGGGACAAAGACTTTAGCTAGTGATCACCAGTATGGAACTTCTTCATGCCAGTCATCTGTCATTCTGATTATTTCTCAACATTGGTTTAGGCTTTTCTGGAAGAGCTCTAAACCTGTGTCCTAAATATCTCAGCTGATAGATTGGTGGAGTAGAGAGAGGGAGCACAATATGTTTTCATCTCACTTTACTCCATGCCTCTCTTCTGCTTCACCAACCTGTCAGCTAGACTATTTTATATATTTATTTATCAGATTTATATAGATGTCCCTCTCATAAATTGACTCTGGGCCAAGTGGCAAGTCTTTAGGGTTTAGTATTACCCCTGTGGTCTAGTATGTTAGCCAAACCCAAATTGATTGTTAACTGATGGTTAAACAACAATTACTCATTCAGCACAAAGCAAGATTCACAAAACACTATCCAGCATCTAGAAGTAGCGTCTAAGTGAGTACTTTAACTATACTGTAGTTAATGCTAAGCAACAATTACTATAACGGGCAAGCATGGTGAATGAATTATACAAACTGTAATTAAGAACACTTTTACTTTTTGCCATAAGTGATAAGCTTTTTGGTTTAATTGCTGTCTCATCTGGCAATTCATTTGTAAATGTATCTGACAGTTTCTTTCAGCTTAAATACTGAGAACAGAATTCTGGATTTCAAATGTGAAGACTATCTCAGCTCAATCTTTTCAGACCCAATCAAAAGAAAACCTGCAGCAATGTTAGAGAAAAATGCTAGCATTCAGTGGCAATTTTGTTCATGTTTCTTGGAAAAAGTATCTGTATAAACTTAACTAATATCTTTTTTAAAAAAAATTGTGCTAGAAACAAATAGTCTAGAAGTGCGAGAATCATCAATATTAATGGCTTTTAGGTTAGTTTAGGGAAGTTATTAATTGGGCTTTGGAATTCTGTGATTTTTTGTTCAGTCTAGACATTTGGTTGAGTAATCTTTTTAAATTCCATTTAAAAGGTTAAGGAACTTTGGCTTAATCACCAAAATAACAAATTTGTTAAGAGAAATCATTTGGGTCTAACTATATGCCATTACTTTACTTCAGCATGAGAAGTGAAAAGAATGGGTTGAGAGAAAACATAAGATGGCAAATTATCTTTTTGCAATTTCAGATTAGAATTTTGTTGATATTTACTTTTTACAAAAGTAAAAAGACCATTGGGTAGTGTTTGCAATTAAATGACATTGTAAGTGTGTTAAAAGATAACAGGAACAGCATTTTAAAATACTTGTGGGAGAATTATGGAGTGTATTGTCTGAATGAATATGGATCGATGGATGGATCAATGAATGGATAAATAGATACATAATCTGCCCACTTCCTCCAATGATACAGCTGCTAAATATATGACTTACCAATGAATTATAAAGCTGTAAATATAATCCCTGACAATTTCATCTAATTGTTAAGGCACCAGACTAGAAATCAGACTGTAAATTCTAGTCCTGACATAGGCATGAAAACCAGCTGAGGAGAAAAGCACCTTTGAACCTTCTCAGCTTCCCCCCACCCCCCAAAGATGCAAGATAATGAAATATATGATCAAGTTTATTAGCACTCCATAACAATGTTATCTAAAGCATTTCACACTTCTGAAGAGGCTCTGTGAACTACTTGATGGGCCACCTTAGGTCCATACATGTGAGGGTCCCGTCCCTTGAGGTGAAAAATAGCTTGGGAGTTACTTATTTTAAGTAGTCCTTGAACATTCCTCCTTCATCTAGACTTACCTCATTATAGCAAGTAGATGGTTGGGTTGGGTGGGAGGTTGCAAAGTAAGTTCTCTGATGAGACAAAAAAGAGGACAAGATTCAGGATTGTAGTATTCTGATTCAGGATTGAAGAATTCAGATAAAGATACTGAACTTCAGTACCATGGAGAGCAATTTACAAGGAACTACCTATTGTAACAGGAGCTTCAGGGAGAAACTTGCAATTTAACAGTTTGCCTATGAGAATCCTTCTGAGAATACCATGTCTTCAATATTTTATCAGGCTTTTAAATGGATATTATCTTCCTTTGTGTTGATTGGCTTCCATAGGGACAGAAATGGGCATAAAAATCAGAAAAAACAGGAATCTGTTTGGGGGAATAGAATGTTGTAAGAGAAGCTTTAGAACTGCTGTAACATTTGTGATAAGTGGGATCCTAATAAATTTTCTATAAGGTAAAACTTACTTAGAAAGTCTCATTTTCTTTCACAATGATTTTTTTAAAAAAAATGGATGTCTATAAATATACGTGTTAATTGACAATCTTAGTTTAATTTGGAAAGAAAGAAAATAGGCAAAGTCTAAATAAAGTAAAATTACAATTGACTTTTCCAATTCACCATTTAAGTCATTGAAAGTGAGCATTACATGTTGAGAACCTTACTTTTTAATTACTTCTTGCATGATTAAAAAAAAAACAGCTGCAATACCTTTTCCCTGAATATTGGATGCATTGCACTATTTGAGAATTTGCAGGATAGGATTCTTCCTTCAGAAGTTTTCAGATTTGCAAAAAAGAGGAATGCAGAAATTGTGAACTTTAAGTTTCATTTTTCCCAGCCAACAAAAGAAAAGAAATGAATAAAAGAGTTTTAAGGTTATTACATGGTATCATAGAATGCCAATATTAAACAAGGTTTGATAGGGAATGCAATTGTGATGGCTATAAATATGATAAGATGTACTGTTTGTTGGTATTGTTGACATTAGAGTTGGAATACAAGATTAAAAGTTCTAAAGGCAGATTTAAATGAATATGATAATGTATTCAGGTCCTTCCTTCCTTCCTTCCTTCCTTCCTTCCTTCCTTCCCCCTCCAAAATTATATAATCCCAATACATTGGCCAAATTGGGGAAACAGAAAGATCCTAATTGAGAATGTGATTTACGGACAATTACAGATGATATTGCAAGACATATGACTAGATATTCTATAGCTCCCTCTATCTCTTCCCCTGTCATATATTTGTTTTGATTAACAACTGTTAAGAAACCAAATTAATTTGGTTGAGGCCCAAGAAATGCAGATAATTATTTTGTCTCATATCATTTCCTATGTCTAAATAATTAGTGGTCTTTGGAAAAAAAATATGTTCAGCATGGAAACCAGCAAACTTTGTTCCATGGAACAAACAGTGATGGTAAGATAATGGTATAAATGAAAAATAATATACTTTTCCTCAGCACTCCAGTTGAATAGCTTGAATAGCCTATATAAAATGTTCAATCGATTTTGTTTCAGATAAACAATTCAGACAAAACAGTGTGTGAAGTCAAAAACGTACAGAACAAAATAAAACACCACTTTAATGCAGCAACTTAGTACCAAAGTGACAAGAAGAAATTCAGCAAATGATGTTTTCCCAGTTTTTGCAAATGAAAAAAAAAAGTTAGACATCAGAGATTCAGTTCAAAATCCCTACTTCTATCTGAACCCTAGATAGCCTTATAATCCGATGCCATTGCCCCCACCCTGTCATCCATAATTAGGATAAGCCAGGGGAAAAAAGAAACACCAGAACATAAAACTCATTTAAAAAATTAACTTAAAACTATATTCCTGTGGTGGTTCAGGCCATAGGTTAATCTTGTTCAACATTCTATCGCAGTGGTCCCCAACCTTTTTAACGCCGCGGCCCGCTGAGCGCGCGCAGGGGTGGGGCCACGGCCCAGGAGCTTTTGCGCACGGCCCAGTGCGCAAAAGCGGCCGGGGGACATGAACGCTGCAGCGCAAAGGCTCCTGGGCCGTGCGCTGCAGCGTTCATGTCCCCCGGCCGCTGCGCGGCCCGGTGCCAGGTACTCCACGGCCCGGCACCGGTCCGCGGACCGGGGGTTGGGGACCACTGTTCTATCGTATATGATACAAATAGAACAGGATAGAATAACAGAGTTGGAAGGGATTTTGGAGGTCTTCTAGTCCAACCCCCTGACCAGGCAGGAAACCCTACACCACTTCAGACAAATGGTTATCCAACATCTTAAAAATTTCCAGTGTTGGAGCATTCACAACTTCTGCAGGCAAGTTGTTCCACTGATTAATTGTTCTAACTGTCAGGAAATTTCTACTTAGTTCTAAATTGCTTCTCTCCTTGATTAGTTTCCACCCATTGCTTCTTGTTCTACCCTCAGGTGTTTTGGAGAATAGTTTGACTCCGTCTTCTTTGTGGCAACCCCTGAGATATTGGAACACTGCTATCATGTTTCCCTAGTCCTTCTTTTCATTAAACTAGACATCCCCAGTTCCTGCAACCGTTCTTCATATGTTTTAGCCTCCAGTCCCCTAATCATCTTTGTTGCTCTTCTCTGCACTTTCTAGAGTCTCAACATCTAGATTAGTTGAATGTCATGGTGGTTCTGGAAATCCCAGATCTAGGTTGGAGAATAATACTCCCATTTTCCAGCAATTAAGGTCAACATATGAGGTTGGTGCTTCCAATTCAGAAATAATAAACAGCCACCATCAGTATTAGTGACTATGACAGCTTGATTCTATCCAGACTCCTTTTAAAACTCTCCAAATTGGCTATGGTGATTACAACTGGTAGAAAATGCACTAAAGCATAAATTAAAGCACAGAAACTAATGTCATTGCTAGAATTATGCCAGCTGGGGGTAATGAGGCTTATAGTCTAACTCATCTGGAGGACATCGGGTTGGAAAAAACTGCAGTCTACTCTACTCGTGTGAGAAGCTAGGTCTTCGGCTCTCCTCGCCCTGTGTCCTTCCAGCACAAAGCACTTTTCTTGCTGCTTTCAGCTCTGTCTCCTGCCTCAATAAGGCGGTAGCTCTTCCTCTGGGTTTTGGCAACAATAAAATGGTAATTTTAGAGAGTCCATTGGGGAGAAAAAATGGGTGCGTGGATCTGGCATGGATCCAAACTGCCCTTTGAGATTCTAGTTAGTAGATCATGTTGTAGTTCTGTGCACTCAGTGAAAGAGTTGATCGCTCCCTCTGCCTATGGAAGCAGAGCTCCTGTCACCGTTTTAAACTATTGTAAAAATCGGGATTTTGATTGTAATGTTTGTTGTTTGGGATGGGGTGGGAAGGATGATGCTTCCTTCTCACAAACTCTGATAGAGAGAAAGGAATAGAATTCAAGACATGTTCAACAGCTGGAAAACTCAATCCATTTCCTTCCCTATAATTCCACTCTCCCCATTTACGCCAAGGAGTAATTTTCGCCCTCAGCACCAACTCCAGACAGTGATGATAATCTGAAGGTTAAAGTGACCAATGCATTAGAAATTCAGATGAGCTCCAAAATATCAAACGCTCCTTTCTATTGTTATTCTAAAAGAGATTTTAAAAAATCCCAAAACCTTTGTACTGTAACTTGTGTCCTGAGCCAGCCAAGGAGCAAAATCTCCACCGATCTGTAACGGTTGTAGTTGACAACAGTAATTTGTAATAATCATCGTTCGGGAAGCTAAACGTGACGAACGGCTTAAGTTACTTTCCTTGCCACTTTCCCTATATTTAAGTTTTACGATTTAAAGCGACGCCGCTAATCAGAATGGAGAGAGAGAGAGAGAGAGCGACCGTAAGTACTGTAGAAGCTGTATATGAATGGAGGGGGTGGGACTGCAGGTTCCAACTTCAGCCCCTCCTTTCTCGGGAACCAGCCAGTCCCTCTGCAGGGTGTTTGGGCTATTCTGATTCGTTCTCTGGAGTGATCCAATTTGCATCCGGCTCGCCCATTTGTGAATTTGGTTCCCGAAATCCTCGCTTCACTTCACCTGGGCTTCCTAGCTGCCTTGACTTTAATTGAGCAACCCTGAGCATCCTGCTTCCACTTTTTTAAAAAAAGAAAAAGAGAAGAAGGAGAAGAAGAGAAAAAGGGCAGGAAAAAAGAAAAGAGGACAACGGCTCGACTTTGATTTCTCTTGTGTGGATGCTGGACTTTCCTCTCTCTCTTTCTCTCTCTCCTTTTTTTTTTTAAACCTTTGCTCCTTCAGTTTGCTCCGTTTGAGTTCCACGGGAAGATCTGGCAGGTACTTTTTTTTCCCAGTTGCGAGACCTCCTCCTCCTCCGCTTGCCGCCCCGCATTCGAGGATAAGGCGGTTCACTTTGTCGAGTGCTTGTCCGTTGCTGTGTGCGTGTGGGCTCCCCGGCGCGTGTCGGTGTGAAAGAGGAGATTAAAAGCATCCCCGCAGTGCCACCTTTGTCCGTGGAGAAGCAACCAAGCCAGCAACTGGAATTGGGATAAGCCGGTGGAGGCGAAATCAAAATCTTTCTAAGGTCTCTGGCTGCATTCCCCTCCCCCACACACACACCTCCAACCAATTTTCTCTCCCTCCCTCCCTCCCTTTCCTTTCTCCAGTTAAAAGTGAGGCGACGGGTAGGGGGAAATCCCTGTGGATCGTGTGAACCTGGAGAGAGAACGCGACAGATGAGAAAATTGGATCCTTCCCTTGCTTAGTATGCGTGGCTCCGCTGGTCCTTCTTAGAAGCTTGCTACGTCTGAAAGGAACCTTACCCCCCCCCAAAAAAATAATACCCCCCCCCCCCAAAAAAACCCTCCCAACCCACCCAAACCAGCTCTTGGGATCTAGCAGCGGTTGACTTCGATTGCTCGGCTGTTTAACCCATTCCTCGCCCGGTCCATTGTGGCGCGCAACTCCCACTTTGGAAGCGACTCTTCCCTTTTTTTCCCCGCCACCCCGCAGCCGAGTAGGATGGGGACTTCGGCATCATGAACCTGACCCTCTTTGCCCGGCTGGAATTTGAACTGCCCGGCCCGTAGGTGCCTCTTTCTTCTTCTTCTTCTTCTTCTTCTTCTTTCCGGCTTTGGCTCAGTGCGCTTGACCATGCGGTGCACTGCTTTGAGAACAGCACCAGGACGCTGTCCCGCGTGGACCCTGTGGATGGGCTCCCTCGTCTGGGGATGTATCGTAAGCTCGGCGCGGAGTTCTTCCGGCGCGGATTTGCCGGCTTCTTCGTCCGCCTCTTCGCAGCTTCAGCAAGAGCATCATTTCCATGGCAGCAAGCACCACTCCGTGCCTATTTCGATCTACCGGTCTCCGGTTTCTTTGCGGGGAGGACACGGTGGGTGCAGCTCACGCTTCCTTTTTCGCGGACCGGCCCGGGGTGGTTTTGCTGGCGCGGGGGGGGGGGGGAAGGGTCCTTGGGGGCTCGGGGAGAAGCCGAAGAGGTGCCCCGGGGAGAAAGAGGGATCGAATCGGAGCCGCGGAGGAAAGGAAGAAACTTTCCCCAGTCTCTTTAAAAGCAGCCCTTAAAGCGGAGGCCCTGCTCGCACCCGGCCAGCGGGGATATTCGCAAAGCCTTGCTTTCCAGCAGTGGGGAGTGCCAGGGAGAGAGCTGCCGGCCACCAGAGGATTTGGGGGGGAGGGTTTCTCCTGGGCTGTGTACTCTGGTCCTGGCCCTGGCAGGTGGCCGGGGAGAGATCTCGGTTCCTGTCCCTCCTCCGCCTGCTCGCACCTCTCAGTGGCCGC